GGAGCTTCTTTAATGTACATGTTGGATTGGATGTTGTGTCGCACACCTTATTAAAATATGCACCTCCCAGTTCCCCTTTTTTATACCCCAGCTTTGCCCAAATAAATGAGTTTGATCAGAGTTTTGTCTTGCTCCACGTCTCCGGGTCTTTTCTCCATCCAGGTTCATCTTTCCCCGCAGGGCCTTGCTCGTGCGTCCCGCAGGCCGGGACGCAACATATCGGAAAGGTCAAATGGGGATGGGTTGTGGTAGAGCCCTGGTGGCACCGTGATTAAGTGCTAACTGAAAGGTCAGCAGTTCAAACCCACCAGCTGCTCCATTAAAGATGTGGTAGCCTTGGAAACCCACAGAGTCTCTATGAGTGAAAATCTACTCAATAACTATGTTGTTTTTTTTGCAGGCGGGGGAGTGGGGGGTTTGAAAGTGGCAAGTAGGCAAAACTTCTACAGGATCAGATTGCTAGGCCTTTTCTTCCATGGAGCAGCTGGTAGGTATGAACCACCAACCGTTCTTTCAATCAGCAGCCAAACACTTCACCTTTGTGCCACCAGGACTTATTACGGAAGCATATCAGTATTTAGTTATGTCTGAAGCCCCAAATTCCAACAGAACCAAAGTCCTCTCCGCTACAAATCAGCAATCATAGTAGGCAAATGCCAATTTTCTAAAGATAGCTAATAGTATCACTATAGCAAATGATCAATTAGCAGCCAACGTTTTAGTCGGCTTGCTCCTCAGCTTCTTCCGTCCATTAAGGACTGCATCTTGTACATCTTCCTCATCACCACCACCCTATCAAACACGACCCATTCATCCGCAATGCATGTCTATAGAACAAAGATCTAGAGGTGCTCGCATAGTAGGTATTCCCAAGGATGAAAAAAATTACCCCTCCTAGGGGCTTCCTACAAATTGGTCACAAATCCCCAATCCACAGCCTACAACACGCACACACCCACATCAAAACAGATTTAAGCAGTGGATTTTTGGTTTTGTTTTTCAATACTCACCTTTCTACATCAGATTTCCTCGGCAGTCTAAGAGAAAGGGGGTAAAAAAAAAAAGAAATTGATTAAATATATGCATTCCTTCAACAAAATGTGCTGTCTTTACTTTGATATTATTAAATATCTTCAGGATTTCAGAAAACCTGAGTCAACGGCTATTACAGGCTCAGCAGCTACCTACTCGTTGATTTTCAGTCATTTCCAGCAATATGGCCGGAAAGGGGAAAGCAACAAAGGGATCCTTCTCTCCATTCAGAACACTTCAAAAGGGGCATCCATGAACCTCACACACCTAAAAGGCCAGAGTAGCAGACTATCCCAGTGTCAAAGAAGATATTCTTTTAGGACCAAAATGGCCTCGGCTGCTTCAGCCCCGTTGTCAGCCACCCTGTATCCAATGGAACCTTGGTTCTGAGCAATGATCCCGCCCCATTTTCTAATCAGCCCGAGAGCACACAAAACGGCCAGCCAGGGTCGACAGGAGGCTTTGCAGTCACAGATGTTGCACAGTGGTTAGACAGAAATGATTGCTATTACTTTGAAAGTACTCCATTAGGATGGTTTTTATTTTGGTTCTTCTAGCTAATTCTCCAGTACTGATGGCCAGCAATCAATGTCAACCTTTTCCTTGACAAAGGACATCATCTAACACTCACTGTGCCCTGGTGGCGCTGTCAGGTAAGTGCTGTCGGATAAGCATTGGACAGCTAACAGCAAGGTTGGTGGTTCAAACCCACCAGCCACTCAGTGGGAGAAAGATGGGGCCCTTTGTTCCCATAAAAATGTCTAAAACCGGCCTGTCTGGATAGGACAGGCTGGATGAACAATCTGGAGGAGAAAACAACGGGACTGACAGTTCCGGGGGGACATGGG